GGGGGGCTATCACATATTGGAACTGAAATGGAAATTATATATATCACTGATTTTCAACAATTGAATCATCTATATAAGTGCTATTGGGTAAAATCGTGTCATGGGTGCATTAAAACACAATCCTTCTAATTACCCCCATTGAATTGTGTCTATTTCTGCAAGAAGAAAGTCTTCTTGTCCAAGATCCTAGAGATTTAACTGAAGAAAGTATCTCCAAATGCTCAAGAGATGAGAGGAATGCGTGTGAGCAAAGTTGCCAGTCAATGGAAAGGCAGAATCAAGAACAGCTTTGATACAACCATGATTTAATGAAGCTGGAAGAACAGAAATAGAAAGAGACACTTCTGCCAGGTGAGTTCTTTGGCCAGTGTGTGAACCATGAGTAGAGAGCACCTGGCTCCTAGTTCATCTGGACTTAGTGTAGCTTGTGATAGTCCATGAGATCTGACTTCGGAAATTGTGGGAAATTCGCAAGGTAATTAATTGTTGTTAAAGCTGTTATTAAAATTTAAATTATATGACATTTCATTCACATAAATTATATTTAAAAGTCAATAAATACAGAAAACATAATCTACTGCTTTATTGCATTTTAGTATTAGATAACTAAAACATTGTATATATGATTATATATATGCAACATATGCTAAGTAACATATGAATATTGTTATTTTGTTTATGTTCTCAGGGTCTTTTATACCCATGCATGTGCTTAGCAGGAATAGTATATAAAGCAGAGTTACTGACCATGTCTGCTCAGTTCTTTATTAATTAGTATAATGCTGAAATCGGCCATTGTGGGAATATGTACAGCATCCAGTGTTTGTACCCAAAGAGTTAAACATTTGTCAGAACACCACTGAACGTTGAATTTCAAGCATTATTTATGCATAGAAACGTTGGGTTGGGGTATGTGTATACTACTTCTAGAAAATTCCCCTATGCCTTTATAAGATGACCCTGTTGACCAGTCCTGCTGATCCTAGAAAATACTGGGAATCTATGAAGGAAGGATGCTTCTCTTAAGCAGCCATGGGGAGAGTAGAAATGTTTTCAAGGTTCCTGGCAAAATGTAGCCATCTTCAGCAATTCCGTTCAGCTCTGCTACCTGTTAGCACTGCAGTAATTAAAAAAAGGTGCATCAAGCGTGCTTCTCTGCCCCAAAGAGCAAAAGCACCTCATTAATATTTAACAACACTTGCCGAAACTGGCTGCCTACAAGCTGTGGACTTCTTCATTAATTTCTGCTAAATGCATATTAAACTCTTTCACACTGTCCAGCCTTCCTCCCAGCTCATGAGTCTGCAGGATTTAAACAAACAAACAGCCTGTGTTCCAGCTTCCTGGGAAAAGGTGGGAGCTGATGAATTGTGAGATTTGACCAGAATATACCAGAAAGACTGATTTGCCTCAGGGAAGCATGCTGCCAGATTCTGCAGACACACAGGCAGTTCACTTTGAGACATAATTTACCCCTGTGTGGTGCTTGATTATAAAAGCAGTTGAAAGTCTACCTGTATCGGGAAAAATCTGTCCATTTCCAACAATATGCAT